GGGTTCTCTCTTGGAGAGACATCCTCAAGACCTTATTAATATCCCCTTTATTAATACCTATCTTCCACTTATACACTTCGATCAGGTCTCCCCTCATTCTTCGTCTAACAAGTGAATGTAACTTAAGAGTCTTCAATCTTTCTTCAAGGAAGATTTCTAATGCTATGTATTAATTTAGTCATCCTACGCTGAATGTTTTCTAACGAATTTATGTCCATTCTGTAATATGGAGACCAGAACTGAGCTGCATAATCTAGATGAGGCCTTACTAATGATGTATAAAGCTGCAGTATGATCTGTGGACTTCTGTTGCTTACACTTCTTGATATAAATCCCAGTAATCTATTTGCCTTATTACGTACGCTTAGGCATTGCTGTCTTGGTTTAAGGTTGCTGCTCACCATAACCCCCAAGTCCTTTTCGCAATCTGTATGGCTAAGTTCTACAACATTTAACTTATAAGTACTAGGGTTATGGGCACTCCCAAGCTTCAGAACCTTGCATTTATCTACATTAAACTGCATCTGCCACTTTTCTGACCAAGAATAGAGTTTGTTTAAATCCTCCTGAAGTTCCATAACATCTACGTTTGAATCAATTATCCTACCTATCTTTGTGTCACGGCGAATTTGCTCATATCACTAGTAATTCCCTCATAAAGATCATTGATATATATTATAAACAACAACGGGCCCAAGACTGATCCCTGGGAACGCCACTTTTTTACAGACCCCCCACTCGGTTTTTAACCCCCCATTTAGGGGAAAATCTCTGCTTCCTGTCAGTGACCCCAGAACGATCCCGAAAAACCCACTTTCCCCCCAATGCCATGAGCTGCCATTTTTCTTTAACAGTCAAAGGTGGGGAAACTCTATCAAAAGGGGGGTTTATTTAAAATTAATTAAATATCAAATTTTTTAATCGTGGTCAACCCTTTCAAAACTTTACGAAGAAAGTTTAAAAATTAGTTAACAAGCCCCGGCCCTTTTTGTGAATCCATGCTGATATCATTAATAAAGCAAACTTATGGGAATGGCTTTTTTAATCTCAGCTATAATTGACTCTAGTAATTTGCCTAAAATTTAAAGGTCACCCTTATTGGGCGGAAATTTTTGCCCGGTAACGACTTTTTCCCCTTTTTTTAAAAATAGGAATTACATTAGCCATTTTTCACATACAGACACTACACCTGTTTGAAGAGGGGAAATTACAAAAATTAGTTAATGTTTCACAGGTTCCATTTTGCTTTCCCTTTAAAGAACCCTTAAAAAAACCTCATCAGGACCCGGCGACTTTTTTTGGGCTTCAGTCTGTCAACCCTGCTTCACAACCATTTCACATGTGTGATGTTACATAATTTGCCCTTCTTCTAGCCCCTAAAAAAAATTAATTACTAAATATTGTTAGTGTTTTCCTGTGTAAAAACTGGGGAAAAAATTTAATTTTTTTAAAACAACACTTTTCTTTTCCCCTTTTTGTCAGTAAGGTGCCCAAATTTTTTTAAAGGGGGACCTATTTTTCCCCCTAACTTTTGTTCTATAGACCTGGAAAAATTTTTTGGGTTTGTTTTAAAATTTCCCTAGCAATTTTAAAATTTTCATACCCCCCCTTTTAGCTTTTTTTAAACCCCTTTTTTAAAAGTCCCTCTTAATGTCAATATACTGATTAAAAAAGGGGCCCTCCCCCTCTTTTGATCCCCCCTAAAAAAATTCCTTTTTATGCCCATAGATATTTAACCTATTATTCATCCATTTTGGGGCATTTCTATTTTATCTAATTTCTTTATAAGGGATAAACGCTCTTTGAGCACAAGAAAAGTGTTCAGAAAACTGTCATATTTATATTCACTTCGTTACCCCAGTCAACAGATGATAATGTTCTCTAAGCCCATCGAACTGCTAAGCGAAAAATCTGGGGCTGTTACTGAGTTTTCGCTACAAACGGGACTTCCATTCAAAGCCCAAATGAAAATTTTATTTTGGTCGCTAGCACCCAGTTTCCCCTGAAATTTCTAAATTAAAACAAAGGGGGTTCCCTTTTTGCCATAAATAATCAAGCAGGTTATTTCCCCTTGTAGGTTCTGTCACAAACTGCTCAAAAAAAAAAAAATCCTGGGAAATACTTCTAAAAAAGTCGTTTTGATTCTAAATTCCCAGTCAAGAAATTCCAATCAATTTTGGGCAAAGTTAAAGTCTCCTAAATTACTACCCTTACGGCCTTGTGGGCCCTTTAAAAATTTTTTCCCCCCAAAGTATCTCCCTTGGCCCTACTAATTTTTTGGGGGCGGTAAAATCACTCCTAAAAAACAGTTTTTTTATGCCCCCGAAAAATTTTATCCAAACAGACTCTGTAAGTGTTTTCCCTTTAATTTTAAAAACCCTTTTTATGCAAAGTTCAAGCGATCTCGGACATAAAAATGCCCCCCGAACCCCCCCTTCCCCAATTTTTTTTTATAAACTTTATTTTTATAAAATGGGTTTTTAATATTATGTTTGTTTTTTGTTTCCCCAAAATGAAATTTTTAACGGGGGACCCTTTTTTTTGCCAAAAATTTCCAAAATATTTAGTTTAAAGTAACGGCCCCTCAATGCATTTGCCAGTGCTACCACCCCAACCTAGAAAATGAACCCCATCCCGGGCATACATGCCATTTCCGCCATAGAAGGGGTCCCAGTTGTCAATGAATTTTACTGCTTTTTCCCTTAAGTATTTTTCCAGCCAGCAATTGACACCTATTCCCTGGACAACCTTTCTTTTCCAACCCCCTCTCCTTGGAAAAATACCACATATACGGGGTTCCCCCCCTTTTCTAATTATTTTTATTGCTGACCCCATACCTTAATCAGGGCTTTACCCAAACCCGCCCCATCGTTTTCCTCCACACGAGACAGATAAAGGATTCTCCCCCTTACCCTCAGATGTCATCCGACGGTAACAATATCCTCCCCCACCCCAGGGAAAAAAAACCTTTGCCCACCCTGTCCCCCAAGCGAAGCCCTATCCTTCCAACTTGGCTATCCCCAACAACAACAAATTTTTTACCTTCCTTGGGGTCGTTTGTCGGATGTTCCCAGTATCGACTCACATTTGTGGGTACACTGAGAATGAATTTGATGTTTCCACAAAAATTTCCACGGCAGTCCTTTCTTCTTTATCGTTTTTACTTTCCATTTGCTTCTTGAGCAACTTCATTCCCGCTGCTAGCCACTGACCGTTTCCCTTTTTCCTAAGGACTCAAACAGAAGGACACTACGAATCTTCTTTTTTTCCTCGGCATCGCCGAAAATTTCCAACTTCGCATCCTCAATTCTTCCTTAAGCTGTTGGAAAAATTGCTCATGGAGGGCATCTGCTTCAATTCGTAAGAGAAGCAAACAGGTCTTTACAACTAAGTACACGCAAACGCGCAAAAGCCCAAATCAATCAGGAGCTCGTACACGTCCCACGGCCCAATAGGGTGAAACCCAGACAGCGCTAGTTTTGGCACCGTAACAAATGGATTAAAAATGCTCGGGAAAAAGTACAAAGGGGGAGACAAAATTCCCATGTATCAGAAAACTTCCCTATAGGGTAGACTGAGGGGCCCGAATCGCACTCTCTCAAAGGGGTAAATTGGGGGGAAAGACGAGGTGTATAAATGGAAAGCAGGAATAAAAAAAAGGGGGTGTAAAAATTTTGCTGAAAATTTCCACCAAGACGGACTGCAGCAATGGTTTCAAGTTGGAAAAAAATTTGATTCAGGGGGAAAGGAAAACATGGTTTGGTAATAAGTTTTGGAGAGTGGGAAAAAACCCCGGTACAGTTATTGGGCTAAAACGTTGTGTATTTTAAAAAAAAGTTTGATAAATACATGATGGGGTTTGGTGGGGGTGGTTGGACCTGCTATTTTGTGTTCGGTCGGTACAGTGCTCCATCCTTAGGGAAATTCCGACTGGGTGGGGCTTGGGGTAATCCAGGGGGGGGGTTTTATTGGTCTTATCCGGGGGGGCCCTGGCCCTTCCGCATGGGCATAGGTCTTTTGCAGGTTCCTTTTTCTTATGTTTTTATGTTTAACACTTGGGATCTTAAAAGGGATACCCAAGTGTTGCACATGTCAATTTAAAGCTTTCGGTTCTCTGAACCACCATCTACATTCACTGGCAGCTAGAACTATGCTCTGAAAACGTCATATTGGCAACCAACACCACCTACCTGACCCATAGTCAGGTCATTCCAATTTAACCCATCCAGATAATTTCTCAATCCCATGAAATCTGCCAAGCAGAAGTCTGGGACACAGACTTAATTGCAGTTATTTTGGTAATTCTATATATTGAAACTAAGTCATTTGTGATCACTTTTCCCCAAGCTCATCATTAACCTCAAGATTATTAATTAGTGATTGTCAGTTGGAAAGAACCAAGTCAAGCAGATTGTTTCCTCTAGATGGCTTTGTCAAAAACTGCTTTAAAAAAGCAATCTTGAACCGTATCAATAAAGTCACTAGACTCAAGATTTCCTGTCATATTGTTCCAATCAATTTGTCTAAAGTTAAAATCTCCAATTAACATGACAGTTTTTTATCTAGATGCGGTATGAATTTCGTCCTATAGCTATAAATCACACTCAAAATTAATTTGTCACGACCCTCGAGAAACTGTAGCCAAACAGATTGAGTGTCCGATGCGTCTAATACAACTATTTAAATTATCTCTGACTTGCATCGCCACTCCACAACCTTTCCTGTTCACCCTATCAGAGCCAAATAGTTTATAGCCTTGTATGTGGCATTCAGAAGACATTTTTCTACCTTTCAGGTTGAACCATGTCTCTGTTATAGCAATAATATATGTTACCTGGACTTGCAAATAATCTTAGCTCATCTATCTTATTTCTTAGATTCCTACTATTAGTATAGTAAACCTTAAGCTAGCTAGTCACTCTCTGCTCTCTATTGTCATTCAGCTAGAGATAAAGTGATCTTATAATCATGAGACAGACGTGCTACCTTAGTTTACTCACAATGGTGACATAGAAGGTGCAGATAAGACCCATCAGAACCACCGAGATGGTAGAAGAGAGGTTCGTGAAAGAGCTGAGAACGAGTGAGGGAGCGTACAGAGCGAGTGCAAGATAAAGCACCATGTACAACATGAAGTTGATCGATGTCAGTTTCCGTAGCGCAGACGACTTGAATCGGATCTCCACGTACTGTTAGAAAGAAAAAAAAATATACAGTAAAACTTTAAAGAACATCTTGTGCAAGAAAGGTATAAAATACCGACAATATGAAAGTTAAGACACATGAGCAATATCTGGATATCTTTATTGTAGACGTTTCGCTACCCAGTGGCTTTATCAATACAGATTCGAGGACATAATTAGAAGACAGTAGAACTATATACAAAAGATGAGGTAATCAGTCCCTCAGCCTTGGAGTTAGTGTTCACAGCATCTTGGTGGTGGAGAATCTGGAGCAAAGGCAAGAAGACTGGCGGTTATATAAACGTCAGTAGATAAGAACGTGTAGCAGACGAGGGCATAGTCACTGGTAGGCGGGATTCCCCAGTAAAAGTACGTCCTACCGAAAGAGGGGTTAGTTGTAGCAGCCGTGAAGAAGATCTTGTAGATGTCCTCAGAACCAAAACTACATGATGTTGCAGTGTCTGACAAGTATATAGTTCTACTGTCTTATAATTATGTCCTAGAATCTGTATTGATAAAGCCACTGGATGGCGAAACGTCTACAATAAAGATATCCAGATGTTGCACATGTGTCTTAACTTTCAAAGTACATCTTGATTAACGTACATAAGTGCATTGCTTTATTAATAATCAGTGATGCTATAAAAAAAAAATTAAAAGTATAAATAAGCACAAAATATTTTCTTTCTGTACCTGTATTTTGAATGGGATTGCCAGAAATAATGTTTCCAAGAAAACATCTTACACTCCTGGCTGCTCAACGATTCACTGACAGTCATATCATAGTCTTTCACTAGTCTATATTAAGTTACATACTTTATTGACAGTAGCTAATATCAGAGTGAATATAGTCTAATTTGAAAGGAAATAAAAGTTGTGTTGCTCCATCTTTGGCATATAAACGTTGCTGATTCAAACAATATGATGTCTATATGCAAGCCTCATTCTAACTATCGTCCACTTCAAGGTGCCGCTTTGTGATTTACCTCTGGCACTCCAAACATTCTGACTTCGCTTATGAAAACTGTCTCATCCTTTAATATTAACGGTTCAGGATACCTAAAGCACTTAGCTTCACGGGCTATTTTAAAATTGATCCACTTAGTTCTCGGGGGAGAGAATATCTAAAACCATTTTGTTTCCACGGGAGAAAATTTCCCAAACCCAAAAACATCCCACGGGCGGGATAAAAACCCCGCATCAGGGGAGTCTAAAAAATTCCCAGCCCTTTCGGTTAGCCCGGGAGTCTTGAAAATTTTCTGATCGGGGGGTTCTATCCCCCCCCGGGGTTTTGGGGTTTTTTTGGGCAGTCGTGTCTTTTACGGTTTGTGAGTAAAATATCTAAACCACTTTTTTTAAAACGTGCCGGGAAATATCTGATCCCCTTAGCTTCACGGTTCAGAAAAAAGGGTAAAACACTTACTTAGGCCCAAAGGATATGTGAACCACTTGCTTCACGGGCCAGGATATTAAATCCATTTTCCTTCACGGGCCCCAGGATATCTGAAGCCCCTTAGCTTCAATGGCCAACATATCTAAACCCACATAACTTTCAGGGGAAAAGGTTTATGTAAAACCCATTTAGCTTAATTAAGGGGTTCCAGGATACCTGTACCATTAGTTCCGGGCTGTATGTCTGATCCACTTAGCTTAAAGGGGTGGGGAGAGAATACCTGAACCCTTTAGCTTCACGGGCCAGGATACCTGAACCACATAGTTTAAAAGGGCCCGGGAAATTTTCTGAATCCCAATTAGTTTCAGGGGCCCAAAGGGATACCTGACCCCAAATGGGCCTTCAGGGCCCCAGGATATTGAACCACAAAGGGTTTTCACGGTCCAGAATATTTTGAACCAAGGGAGCTTCACGGGTCAAAATACCCAAATCCCCCTTAGCTTCAGGGAAAGGGAAAATTTGAACCTTTGGCTTCACGGGAAAAAAATTTTTGGGACCCAAATTAGTTTCACGGCCCAGGATATTGATCCACTTCCCTTTTTATTGTGATTTTTTGTTAACCCTTTGACACACACACACAACACACCCCCACACAAAACACACACCACACAAAAACCCCACACACACAAAACACAAAACACACACACACACACACACGTAACACACACTCAAAACCACCCAAACACACTTACACACATTTTCTTAAACTGCAAGAAGGCTTTTTTGACACAGTACCCACAAGGATTAGAAAAAAAAAAACGGAGGACGAACCCAGGGAATAACGGGGAAAGGGCACTCCAGTGGATCAGGGAACACTTGTCAGGAAGACAGCAGCGGTCTGGTACGTGGCGGGTTTTCAGGTGGGGCCCTCTGTGCCAGCGGGGTTTGTACAGGGGTCATTTCCCAGGGCCGTGCTGTTTCTGGGATTTTTGAACGACATGACGGAAGGGAAAAGGGTCCGAAGTTTCCCTTTTTACAGATGAAATTAAGTTGATGAGAAGAAAATTTATTTCGGTTTGAAGACCAGGGCAGAACTACAAAGGGATTGGACAGGCTGCAAGGGCCCGGTTCCCCGCAATTGGCCCCCTGGAGTTCAAAACCCCCCCAATTGCAAAAATCATGGGAAAATTTGGGAAAAAGGGGAAAGAAGACCGCAGACGGGTACAGTCTGGGGGCAGAGACTGCAAACATCTCCAAAGGAAAATGATTTTTGGGGTTTGATTTTATAACACCAGGCACATCCCCCGAAGCCATCAACCAAATAACTGCTGAGCATATGGGCGCTAGCAAACCCAGAACAGATTCCGACTTTAATAAGGAATATTGGGCCCCTGTCACCGGTACGTTAGGCCCATATTGGAGTATGGGGCACCATTTTGGGAACCCACACCTAGCCAAGCACGTAAAAAAACTGAGAAAGGAAAAGGTAGAACATGACTATTTCCCAGAGTAAGGGTATGTCCTAGAGGAGGGGTTTAAAGGGAAATAAACCCGAGACCTGGGGGAAGGAGAGTAGGGGGGAATGTAAAGACATACAAAAATATGAGAGGGAAATTTACAAGGTGGACAAAAGGGCAGGAGTTTCCCGAGATTGGAACAGTAACAAGGGGACAAGTTGGAAATGAAGCACAGATGAATCACAGGGATGTTAGGAAGTATTTCTTCAGCCACAGAGTAGTCAGTAAGTGGAATAGTTTGGGAAGTGATGTAGTGGAGGCAGGATCCATACATAGCTTTAAGCAGAGGTATGATAAAGCTCACGGCTCAGGGAGAGTGACCTAGTAGCGATCAGTGAAGAGGCGGGGCCAGGAGCTCGGACTCGACCCCCGCAACCTCAACTAGGTGAGTACAACTAGGTGAGTACACACACACAGTGTATAATTGACAACCAGCACGGTTTCAGGGAAGGAAAATCCTATGTCACAAACCTACTAGAGTTTTATGGCAAGGTGACAGAAGTAAGACAAGAGAGAGAGGGATGGATCGACTGCATTTTTTTGGACTGCAAGAAGGCCTTCGACACAGTTCCTCACAAGAGGTTACTGCAAAAGCTAGAGGATCAGGCACACATAACAGGAAAGGCACTGCAATGGATCAGAGAATACCTGACAGGGAGGCAACAACGAGTCATGGTACGTGACGAGGTGTCAGAGTGGGTGCCTGTGACAAGCGGGGTTCCACAGGGGTCAGTCCAAGGACCAGTGCTGTTCTTGGTATATGTGAACGACGTAACGGAAGGGATAGACTCAGAAGTGTCCTTGTTTGCAGATGATGTGAAGTTAATGAGAAGAATCAAATCGGATGAGGATCAGGCAGGACTACAAAGAGACCTGGACAGGCTACAAGCCTGGTCCAGCAACTGGCTCCTTGAGTTTAACCCTGCCAAATGCAAAGTCATGAAGATTGGGAAAAGGCAAAGAAGACCGCAGACACAATATCGTTTAGATGGCCAAAGACGGAAACCTCATAAAGGAAAAAGATTGGGGGGAGTATAACACCAGCATATCCCCTGAGGCGCCATCAATCGATAACTGCTGAGCATACGGGCGCCGGCAAACCTACGGATAGCTTTCCCGAACCTCAGTAAGGATTCGTTCAAGCTCTGTATACCTTTTACGTCAGGCCCATATGGGTATGCGCCCCATTTTGGAATCCACCCCTAGTCAAGCACGCAAGAAATTAGAAAAAAGTGCATAGGTTGAAAAAGGGTAGCCCCGAGTGGGGGTTTTGTCCTACGAAAAAAGGGTTGAGGGAAAACGGCTGACGGCATAGAGGACAGGAGGGTCGGGGGGAGAATGATAACGACATATAAAATACTGGCGGAATAGACAAGTTGGAAAAAAAGGGATGTTCCGGGAAAAGGGAACAGAAATGGGGGTCACAATTGGAAGTTGAAGATCATAAAATCAAAGGGTTTTTTTAGGAAGTATTTCTTCAGTAAGAGTTTTAGGCCCGGGGGAAAAGCATAGAAAGGGAGTAGTGGAGGGGGGGAACCATAATAGTTTTTAAGGGAGGTATGATAAAAACTCTTGGGCAGGGGAGGAGGAACCTAGAGCAATCGGAAGAGGCGGGGCCAGGAGCTAGACTCGACCCCTTCAACCAGAATGGTGAGTACCAAACTCAACACAACACACACAATACACACACACATACACACACAAAAACCAACACCCCAAAACATAACACCAAAACACACCACCACACCACGGGGCCGGGTCGGACTCGACCCCCCCAACCTCAACTAGGTGAGTACACACACCACACATATTTATATTTTTTATATATATATATTATATATATATAATTATTATAATATTATATATTATTATTTTTAAAATATATATATTATTTAAAAGTAGGAATAAATCAGGCCTTACTTCATTAAGTGAAACTAGTCGGAGGTTGAAGAAGACTGGCAGCGTCACGTTGTAAACAAGAATGCAGCCCAAGATCATTCCTAACACAGTGACCGAGATCTGTGTCCCGAAGAAGTGCACCTCAGAGGCGTTACCTGAAGAACCAATAAGTACTTGATCAGTTCTGAGTAATATTGCTCTGAAATTTATAGAATTCATGATCTAATTCCACACAAGGGTTCTGTGTTAATGTAGCTGAAAGGTTCTTGATCCAATGAATTGGACTCGTCCTCCGCCTTCATGTATGGAACGTTAGGGCCTCCATTTCTCCTAGGTGTGTCATGGTCCCCACCACCTTTTTCCATATTTTAGAAATAATTAGAATATTGACAGTTTACTTGATGCAGTTATACTTCTTTCAGAAAAGAATCTTTTTGAAGATAAATTACTTTACCAGTGTCATATTACTGCAAAATATTGAGAAGCCTTGTACAATTGCTGGAAAATAGCCTAGAAGGTTAGCCTTTTTTAACAATATTAGCTTCCTTATCACATTTAATTACTCTTCCTGGACATTTTCATGTTCTTACATAAGAGTAAGTAATAAGAAGAGTCACGACAAGCACATTTTATTTATTACGAAGTAGTTAATACCTGACACCAAGAAAGTGACAACTCTCTTAGTGAGGTGATACGTCATATAGTGAGATAGCGCACTGCAGGAGGCCTGCTGTCAAACCTTTAAGTAGATTAGCATAGTTAGATAATAATGACTAACAATAAGAGAGGAAAATTAGTGAACAGATAATTCATTTTAATTGTTTAAGCATCAACTTAAAAACATGAGGAGCACTGCAGTAGACTTACCCCAGTGGAACTAAGTCACTCGGACTTTTTTGCATTATCCCAGGTTGTCTACACATATACTGCTATGTATGATAATCTATGTAACAACACATTTGCTGCTATGTATGATAATCTATGTAACTACACATATGCTGCTATGTATGATAATCTATGTAACTACACATATGCTGCTATGTATGATAATCTATGTAACAACACATTTGTGTATGTATGATAAAACTATGTAACTACACATATGCTGCTATGTATGATAATCTATTTAACTGTATTTGTGTATACCAGAATAAACTTACTTGACCTCATGAAGGTGAGCTCCAACCTCCCACAAGCAAGTTTGTCCAACAAATGTATAATGAATGCGGTCTATATTGTTGTGAGAAATATTTTCACCTACAAATAATGACAATATTCTGAACAATAAAACTGTCAAGTTTATAGATACTTGAACTTATATTTGATATATGTTCATCAAACTTGCAAGTCACATGTTGACTCCACAATACTTCAGTGAACTGAAGAATTACAGGGCAAGTCTTCGGAATTGTTTGTTACACAAAAGGGTGTAACCCCAATGATGCAGTTTACACAATCATAGTCTACACAAAGGTTGTATACCCCAATGATGCAGTTTACACAATCATAGTTACACGGTTGTTTCCCCACATGATCATTTAACAACTCATAGTCTACCAAGGTGTATATAATGATGCAGTTTCACAATATAGTCTACACAAAGGCGTTACTCACATGTGCAGTTTTCACAACTCATAGAAAATTTGGGAAATTTTTTAATTTAATTTTTGTTTTTTAATTTTAGTTTATTTAAAGAAAAAAAAAGGTATTCAAAGCTTTCGGCAGTTAATAATAAAAATAATAATAATAATAACAATAATAATAAAAATAATAATAATAATAATAATAATATTATAATAATAAATAATAATTAATAACAATAACAATAATAATAATAATAATTAATAATAATAAACTATAACAATAATAGTAATAATATATTATTACTACTACTTACAGTATACACTACTACATAATAATATATAATAATAATACTTTTATTAATTTCCTCCAATAAATCAAAAATAAAAATCATAATAAGATGTACAACATCATAATACAATAAAATCATAATACAGATATAATAATATAAACAGAATAATAATAACATCTAAACCAGATAATACATACATTATAACACATAATTACCAAATAATAAACTAATGACCCAAACATAATATAATATCTTTATTTACTACCAGTACATATACAAGGTATACCAGACCATAGCTGACACTCAATGACACAGCCTACGTTATAAAAGTCACCTGGTTATGTGACCCAAGCATTTCCTGCAAATTAGCGCAGTATTTAGTCCCAGGATGTGACCCACACCAGTCCACAACACCCAGGATGTGACCCACACCAGTCCACTAATACCCAGGATGTGACCCACACCAGTTCTCATAAACTACATTGATGACTGATTACATTTCGTCTTTCACACTTCTCTGTTCCTTAGCCTACTTTCTGTATTCGACTGAAGAAGCCTGACTGTGTAGGCGAAACGTTGGAATAAAGTTGCTAAAACTGTTGCACCTAATGTGTCTTAACTACCAAACCTGTCGGTAGTTTTATACATTTTGATGTTAATCTTGAACAGGGACACTGCAACACATGGCCTCTTGGTACAGAAAAAACCCTTGGACAACCCTTTCAAGTGAGAACTGTTGTATCTGAGTAGGGACCTGACCTATCAGTGTCAGTCAATTCTCATACTACTCTATATACTATGCACCCTCCTTCCGACAGTATTTAAGTCTCGCACCTGTCGCGTTGATCTTCAGCATAGTTCTGACCTATGAACTGAACCTCTCCAGCGCTGAGGGATGACAAACTCTATTCTACGATTCAAGGTGATGGACTGACATCATTTGTCTTCACATATTATGTTCCTGCCTACATTTCTGTATGTCGACGAAGAAGCCTAACTGTTAGGCGAAACGTTTCGGAATATAGTTAGACCTAACTGTTGCCTTTGTCTTACCATACCGAACGCTTGCTCTTCTTGGTACTCTGCCTTGACAAAAAAATTGAAAGATAGACTGCAAATCACCCAGAACAAAATCGTAAGATTCATCCTGGGGCTGGACCAAGAGAACATGTAGGCCAGGATGAATTACAGCAGTTGGATATGCTGAATGTTGAAGACAGAGTAAAACAACTGAAGCTAAATCATGTTTATAAAATTGCTCACAAACAGTGTCCAGAATATCTTGCTGTCAATTTTGTCAAAGTTGGGAACCAAAGCAATCATAGTACTAGGGGGAGAGAGCACAACTTTGTAGTACCCACAGTCATTGGCCAGGCTTCAAACTCCTTTTATTGTACAGCAATAAAGGAATGGAACAGAATACCCGCACATGTCAAAGCCAGTCATAGCAAGAACCAGTTCAAGAAGAGCGCCAAAAGGTGTCTGATGAATGTAGCTACAGAAAGGGAGGGGAATGATTTTCTATTTTTTATCTAACATACGTGTAAATTTTACCTTATTCCTAGTAATGACCCTCGTATTGTAGATAGTCTTAATGACCCTCGTGTAGTAGAAAGTCTTTTTAGTATGATAATAAGATGTTATATTCATTATAGAATAATAAGAAAATATTATAACCTTTATATTATAATAATAAGGTAAAAGGACCCCAAGGGAAATAAGTCACTCTGTCTGACTTTTTTGGGTTATCCTATGTTCTCTACACATATGCTGCTATGTATGATAATTCTATGTAACTGTATTTGTGTATACCTGAATAAACTTACTTACTTACTTACCAGGATGTTACCACACCATCCCTACACACGATTAACCCACAGTCATATACACAGAATGTGACCCACAGCAGTCAACTAACACCCAGGATGTGACCCACACCAGTCCACTAACACCCAGGATGTTGCCCGAACCAGTTCACTAACACCCAGGATGTAACCCACAGCAGTCAACTAACACCCAGGATGTGACCCACAGCAGTCAACTAACACCCAGGATGTGGCCCACACCAGTCCACTAACACCCAGGATGTTACCCACACCAGTTCACTAACACCCAGGATGTGACCCACAGCATTCAACTAACACCCAGGATGTGACCCACACCAGTCCACTAACACCCAGGATGTTAACCACACCAGTCCACTAACACCCAGGATGTGACCGTACCAGTCCACTAACACCCAGGATGTGACCACACAGTCCACTAACCAGATTGCTCACACCAGTACCACTAACACCCAGGATGTGACCCACACCAGATCCACTAACACCCAGGATGTTTCCCACACCAGTCCACTAACACCCAGGATGTGACCCACACCAGTCCACTAACACCCAGGATGTGACCCGCACCAGTCCACTAACACCCAGGATGTGACCCACATCAGTCCACTAACACCCAGGATGTGACCCACACCAGTCCTGGGTGTTAGTTGACTGGTGTGGGTCACATCCTGGGTGTTAGTTGACTGGTGTGGGTCACATCCTGGGTGTTAGTTGACTGGTGTGGGTCACATCCTGGGTGTTATTTGACTGGTGTGGGTCATATCCTGGGCGTTAGTTGACTGCTGTGGGTCACATCCTGGATGTTAGTTGACTGCTGTGGGTCACATCCTGGGTGTTAGTGGACTGGGTGTTAGTTGAATGCTGTGGGTCACATCCTGGGTGTTAGTGAACTGGTGTGGGTAACATCCTGGGTGTTAGTGGACTGGTGTGGGCCACATCCTGGGTGTTAGTTGACTGCTGTGGGTCACATCCTGGGTGTTAGTTGACTGCTGTGGGTTACATCCTGGGTGTTAGTGAACTGGTGTGGGTAACATCCTGGGTGTTAGTGGACTGGTGTGGGTCACATCCTGGGTGTTAGTTGACTGCTGTGGGTCACATTCTGGGTGTTAGTTGACTGCTGTGGGTTACATCATGTGTGTTAGTGGACTGGTGTGGGTAACATACTGGGTAAGTAAGTAAGTAAGTTTATTCAGGTATACACAAATACAGTTACATAGAATTATCATAGATAGCAGCATATGTGTAGAGAACCTAGGATAACCCAAAAAAGTCAGACAGAGTGACTTATTTCCATTGGGGTCTTTTTACCTTATTATTATAATATAAAGGTTATAATATTTTCTTATTATTCTATAATGAAGATAACATCTTATTATCATACTAAAAAGACTTTCTACTACACGAGGGTCATTATGACTATCTACAATACGAGGGTCATTACTAGGAATAAGGTAAAATTTACACGTATGTTAGATAAAAAATAGAAAATCATTCCCCTCCCTTTCTGTAGCTACATTCATCAGACACCTTTTGGCACTCTTCTTGAACTGGTTCATGCTATGACTGGCTTTGACATGTGCGGGTATTCTGTTCCATTCCTTTATTGCTGTACAATAAAAGGTGTTTGAAGCCTGGCCAATGACTGTGGGTACTACAAAGTTGTGCTCTCTCCCCCTAGTACTATGATTGCTTTGGTTCCCAACCTTGACAAAACTGACAGCAAGATATTCTCGACACTGTTTGTGAGCAATTTTATAAACATGATTTAGCTTCAGTTGTTTTACTCTGTCTTCAACATTCAGCATATCCAACTGCTGTAATTCATCCTGGCCTACATGTTCTCTTGGTCCCAGCCCCAGGATGAATCTTACGATTTTGTTCTGGGTGATTTGAAGTCTATCTTTCAGTTTTTTTTGTCAAGGCAGAGTACCAAGAAGAGCAAGCGTAATCCATATGGCATTGTATAAGGGCTAGACATAGGGTCCTGCGAGCCTCAGTAGGTAGACACTGTGCTTGTCTATACAGGAACTTCAGTCTGGCATTCGCTTTCTTTACTACACTGTTCCCTATCAATTCTCCTGACATGCATGGGTCAAAGGGGATTCCCAAATATTTTACTGATGAAACCAAAGTGATGGGCTCCCCATTACATTGAACATTAAAGTTATTTACCCTTCTCATTTATGTTTCGTGCCAAAGAGAATGGCTTCAGTTTTCCCTAGGTGTAATGATAGTTTGTTGTCTACTAACCATTTGCTGCAGGACTCCAGTTCCAGTGTTAAAACATTAGCAATATCTTGTGGGTCTTTACCTGACACTAACAGAGCACTGTCATCTGCATACAGTAGGAGTTTGCACTTGACACTGATAGGCATATCATTGACATAACATAAGAATAATAAGGGACCCAGAATACTACCTTGGGGAACTCCACATGTTATCGGCAGGTGTTC